AGTGGCTACCCCTAGTTTTTGTGAACGGCGCAGTACATTGGGTTTCCTATCGTCCACGTGATTTAAAGGACCGATTTATTCTATCATTTAATGTGACCGAAGAAACATTTGGAGAATTAAGATTACCCCAACAATCAAGTGAAGAATCTTTGGTATATATATCAAGATTATTTGTTGTGGAAGGACGCCATTCGCTTGGTGTGGTGAATCATTGTCTAGAAGAGTACCAACGATGGGTGTGCAGTGTTTGGGTGATGAAAGAATATGGTGTTGCCGAGCCATGGACTGAAATATTACACTGTGATTCAGATTGTTATGGGCGCATGCGTAACATATTGCGTCTAACTAGCAGCGGAAAAGTGGTCACGCGTATTAACAGTGGAGCTATAGTTTTAGTTGATCCAATCAAGAAATTGGCGGAGCCTAACAACAGGAATATTTTGACGCTTATGCTGGGTGTTTCGTTGAGAGTTTGTATTTCATAAACAAAGATCCTAATATTTTGTCTTTCTATCAATGATTGAAAGATTCTGTTCTTGCACGTCTAGGATTAGATTTTCTATTCTGCACTCAATGTCCAATATTTGCTCTCAAGTTTCATGAGTGTAATTGGCTCTCTGTATGAAAAAGACCTTTCTAAAAGACGCAATACTCATTTTCGTGAACTTCATTAAGAGGGCTAAACTGTTCCGCTCAATATGGCGAGCTTTTGGACCAAGACAATGGCTCAGCAATTCATCTCCTAACAAAGTAAACTTATTTTTTTTTAATAAAAATATAAAGTTAAATTTACCAGCCAATCCCTAAATAATTTTTTTTTGGAAATTTAGATAGGTTGAACTTTAAAAGGTCAACGCCATCATAACAATTCTCAAGACTCCAATTGAAAACAAAATTATGTTTATATTTGATATAAACTATCTTTATATGTCGTGCGTAGCACGTTTTTGCAAGGTATGTAATATATTTGCTAGGGTTTTATTTGTGGGTTAGGACACTAGATTTCTAATTCTTCAAGTAGTCAGATTCTTAGGCAAATTACAAAAGATTGAAAAGAAACTTGTTTATGATATCGACTCTTCGTTCAAGTTGAAAGGTTATTAAATCTTAATTATTTGCATTTAGCCCATACTTTATCCTGTAACTTGAATACAAAAACTGAAGGTCATCCTGCTATTTCCAATTGCTATTAACCTTCTAACTCGAGATGTCTCAGAGTAATGTTTTAAAAGTCCGAGCGAATGTTAAATCAGAAATGTTAGCAGTTCACAATTCTTATGGTCTAGCCAGTTGGATCAATGATCAAACCAATGACATATAATTAAATAAAAATTTAATATTATATATAATAATATATGTAAAAAATAAAATATCAAACTATTAAATAACATTTAAAAACTTATAAAGACTAATTTTATGGTTAATTGCGGTTCAACAGGTCATTATAATAATATTTTATCAAAGAGGTGTGTAAATAACTAAATATGACCACCCAAAATTTCTTCCAATCACCACCAAACATTGATTTACCATTCATATATTATAATAATATATTATTAATTTATTCATTATATTTGAATGTGAATATAAAGGTGAGTAAATACTCCCTCCGTTCCTTATTATAAGAGATATTTGATGCTTATAGTATGTTTCTATATATAAGAGATGCTTAAAAGTTGTCTCTACTTTTTTGTATTGATTTCCTATTTTACCCCTATTTATTTTGTCTCCAACTCATACTCTCTCTCCCTTCCACTTCTCTTTTTTTTAATAATTTAATTGTTCTCTTTCATACTCTCTCTCCTTATTAATGGGGGCATTGTTGGAAAAAACATTATACTCTTTACACATTAATTGTACTTAACTAATTTTAACTGTTTTTTTTTATTTATTTGTCTCTTATAATAAAGAACGGAGGGAGTATAAGTTTGTAAGCCTGATCCTAGTCACGTGCTCCGGCTACCAAAATTAAAACTTTTTTTTTTTGGGAATCAAATACGGCAAGCTATATCTTGAAAAACCACTTCTAAGAATTCCTAATACCGCCGGCAGGACATCCTTCCGCTATATCCATCTGTAGTCTGTCTCGGCACTGAGAGAGGGGCTCCCAAATCAAAACTTTCTTCTCATCATTTTGATGTGCTCTCATTGCCAAGTAATCTGCACAGCGTATTGCATTCCCGGAGGCATATTTCAGCTCTATATCTCCACCTGAGTATAAGGCATTTCTGATCATGGTAATCTCGTCCCTCAGACAGCTTTTCGAAATCGCTCCTTAGAAAAAGCACAATGTGAAAGTGCGGGAAGCAAAAGTAACACCACATAGGGTCCATTTTGATGATTGGCGGTAAAAAAAAAAAAAATATTTTTAATATGGTTTTTAGAAAAATCAAACTGGGTAAAATGTATATTGGGTAATGTGATTTTGGATTGGCTTTTATAAAAGTTACTACCTCCGGTCCTTAATATAAGAGCTAATTAACTAATTTGAATAGATTAAAGAAGCTTGTTAAGTTAGTTATTTGTAATAAATAAGCGTTGTTTTTTCTAAAATATCGTTGCTAATCAAGTGTATTAGTTAGAACTACTATTATTACAAAGATTACCTTTAAAAAAATATGGATAATTATGAGAAGCAAAGTGGATTGGGGTTTTATACTTAGGACCAAAATAAAAGTCAAAGTAGCTCTTAGATTAAGGACCGGAGATAGTAGCTTATAAAGTAGAAAAGTTTTTGAATTATAATTAAATAATTTTATTTTGTAAAAATAACCAAAATGGATATGATTTTTATTAAATAATAAAAATGATTGAAAAATAAATTTATAAAATATAATATTTTAAATTATGATATTAGGACAGAGTTATATTTAATGAATAAAATATGTTTGAATTAGAAATCATAGTAATGTGAAAATTTTTTAACCAAATAATATTAGGTAATTAATTGGATAACATACGCTGTACAATTTGTGCAAACATAAAATGAAAAATATTATAAAAATTTTGTTAAAAATTATTTTTATTTTAAAAAACATCAAAAATAAAAAAAACTAAAAATTGATTGGGAAACACAATGAATATATAGAGAGAAGTATAAGAAGAATATAAATATAAGAATAAAAATGTCTTTCAATTTTGAAAAGTACCTTTTGCATAAATAATATGAGACATAAACCATGAAAATTAGCTTGTGACTTAAAGTGACCTTTTTAGACAAAATAACTTGTATCTAAACGTGATGTCAAACATAATAAAATAACACAACCTGACTTTTACTTCCTAAAAGCTACTTTTGCCCCTTCAAATGCTCAACCAAACAGACCAGTCAGTTTATGCATTGGAATGGGTGAAAAACCATCAGTTATTAGCAAGATCAAGGGTTAATGCTCGCATCTTGGTTTCTCTTCTTTCTCATTGTTTTTCACCGACCACGCTCTTGGGGCATTCTTAGTTTCTCTTCGTTTCACTGGGTCATGGGTGAATCACAGTTTCATCATACTCGCACACCAGATATATAAATCATCTTCTTTTTCAGTTAGATCATTATCTTCACTATTTCAAAGGATTAGACGTGCTTTGTGCTCTGCTTGTGTCGTCTTCATCTTCTTCTTCATAATCTTCTCCTCTTCTTTTGTGTTTTAGTCTTTCCCAAACCCGTTCGGTTTCATTCAACCTGTGCCGGTTCGCGGTACAATTCTGGATTTTGGCTCAAATGCCAATTCCATACGGTCCAAGTTGAAATAGCGCAAATGACGCTAAAATGATGTAGATTCATGCTGTGGCATTTAGTTAGATCTTGTATAAATAAGAGATGAGGGAAAAAAAAAAACTGATCTTATAAACGTAGCTCTATATAATTGTTTTATGCGTTGCATTTTGAGAACCTGTTCTTTTTTTCCCCCTAGGATCCGCACAAAATTTACTTACGTCCTATCGAGTGAGTTTATATCATTCCTTTAACATCACTTGTGGCACTTCAACGCTTTCATATTGTTTACGTCAATTTAGCAGATTTTGATAACTTTACATTTCTAAAGACTAATGGACTAAACTACAAGGACTAAAACTAAAGATTTGAAATTTGAGGCACCATAACTAAAATGGGCTCAAATTTTAAGAACACAAGATTATATTATCCCAATATGATTTTACTTTGATAGGAGATGAATGGATGCGCTATTGTTTTGACCCAAAATCTCATGGCATTTCAACTAAGCTGAAAAGACTAATCGCTCATGTCATAAAAATGAGTTTTTTTTGCATCAAAACAACTACTAACAACATATTTAAGAGGCATATATAAAACTAATTAGCAAATATTGAACACTGAACACAATAGAAAAGCACCATAACTGATTGGGAACTTAAAAAAACCCACCTCAAGTGAACAAGAAATATAAACCAAAACATATATCTTAGACTTGTAGTACCATGGTCGTTCGAATAAGTGTTAGAAAGACAAAACATCAAGTTCTTTGTTTATTAGGAACAAACACTCAACATAAGATCCAACATAAGCTTCAGAATATCCCTGACGTCCCACAGGCTCCAACGATCCATTGATTGGATCAATTAAAGTAATAACTTCACTTGCAAGTTTTACTACCACTTTTCCACCAGTAGTTAGGGCTAATATGCCTAATACGCCCCCATAACTTTTTGAATCACATTGGAATATTTCAGTCCATGACTCAATAACACCATATTTTTTCATCATCCAAATACTGAACACCCGTCGGTTCCTTTTCATAAAATGATTCACCACGGGAAGCGAATGGCCTCCTTCCACAGCAAGTAATGTTGACGCAACTTTCCTCGACTGTTGTGGTAACATTAATTCTCCAAATGTCTCTTCAGTTACATCAAATGACAAAAGAAATTTGTACCGTGAACCATCAAATCCACGACTACCAACAACCCAATGTACCGCCCCATTCACAGCTATTGGGGCTAACCACTTGTCTAAATAACAAAAGAAAAACGGAGGAACCCTAACATCAATAATTCTCCAAGAACGAGAAACCCTCAACGTGAGGAGTATCTTGTTCAGCGCAAAGAATCATGAGTCTAATGACCTTGTAATCATTATTCTTGGAATCAAAACCAAACCCAAAATGTAGGTGATAGTCGTCATAAAGTTGACGTTTGCGTTTTTTGCAGGTCATGATTGGTTTGGGAAGCACCAAATATTTGCGAAGCAAGGGATTCCAAATAAGGATAGTTGCGGAATGGAAGGATGAATAGTCAGCAGCAGAGACGAGGCCATTACATGTGCCAGCAAATATATCAAGACGATCCCGCCGAAATAGATGAGAGAGTGGGAATCTCTCTACAGAGAAGTGATTGGTTTGCTGATTAACTGAGTACAATGAGTAAAACTCCTCTTGATGAAGATGAATCTGCCGTTTGTATTTTTTAAGACAGAATTGAAAAAAGAGGGAGCCCCCGCTATTGGAAGCTTCGATTGTACGGTTGAGATGATCAGATATGAAAGTTCGATTTGTGATGAGCGAATTCCAAGCTCTGCAAACCGTGATGAATTTCACAAGAGACTTGACGGGTAGTCTGTGAAGGATTTCCTCCACAATTTCTTGGGGTAAACGATCAGACATATTGCTTTGGCTTGCAAATCTGGACACTATCCTTGACTCCACCACACTTTAATATAAAAGAAGCGAAGGTAATAGTTTTCTGGGGTAAAAGGCATACAGATGTTATTTATAGAAAAAAAATGACTCTAATGGAAAATATTCTAGGAACCTAATCCTATCCCAATTTAATTTAAAAGCTCAAAAGATATGGATAGAAGAATCATAGATGGATAATACTACAGCTGTAACTAATTAAAGATATCTTTTAATGGTCCAATTTATCAATTAATGTTATTAGGATTAAATAATATTTTAGATTTTAAACTAAAGAATTAATCACACAAATAGGTGAGAGTACCAATAAAAACATTTTCTTTTATATATAATTTTTCTTCTTCAACTAGATCTTCTATCTTCTAATTTCATATCTCTCCGTCAAAATAAGTCAGAAACATTTTTAGTTTAAAAAAGCACCGACTTTGTTTTCCTATCTAGCGCAATCTGACATGATAATAGGTTAAAGTGCACTCTAAACACCCTAACACTAGAAATATTTTTCACAGTTACCTCCACTAATTTTATGGGAAAATTAGAAAGAATAATATTTATTAGAGAAGACAAAAAAATCATAGTTATTTTAAAAGAACAAATACTGAAATGTAAATTTATAAATATTAAACTACCCCTCCTACATTTTCTCCCACATTCCCTATTCTATTTCAAAAATTAATGCAAAATTTCAAAATTAACTGGATTAAACCAAATTTCCCTGCAATTTTAGAACTTGGTAGATATCTAATTAAAAATAACACACGAGCGTGGTATATAACTAAATTAGAATTTTATTTTTGAAGTCCCTAATTATTAAGCTTAATTATGTAATTAATAAGTTTTAAATCTAAATTAACAGCTTTATATATGTCTAGAAATCACACTTGCAATAAATCAATCAACTATATTCTTGAAAACTTATAATACCAGATTCGTTTGAAAATAGGTCGAGTATGAGATTATAGGATTAGAATATATTCAATTAATGAGATTTAAATAACACTTTAATATAGATTTGAATGTATCGAATTGAATAGGAAATGTTATAAATAAATACAATTTCAAATAGAGATTCAAATCAAGAAATTAATAATTAACTTTGAATTTAAATAATAACTTAATTGAAATTTGAATATATTAAATCAAATGAAGGGTATCATAATTACATAGTATGTCAATAAGAGGCCTAAATGGAGAACTAAAAAGTAATTTCAAATTTTCACCTATTCCCTGTAAATTCCACATCTCTAATTCAAATTCCATTAAAAAAATATATATTCCTATTAGAAGTAAAATTTAAGCCATCTTAGATAATATAATTTATTAAAATTTTAAATATAATCAAATATGCTAGTCCATAGATGTACAAGGAAAAAATTTATAGTTTCTATATAAAAATAGATCATAATACAACCTTAAAAATTAACAGTTTTAATCATACAGTTAACACATTTTAATTCTAAATTAATTACTTGAGAACAATAAAAAATCCTCATTTTTCTAGGTTTGTAAATAAAAAGAGCATCAAAGTTATTTCATAAAATTTTAAGATATCTCTTTGAGTCATGTGACTTAATTAAGAATTTGATAAATTCAGCAAACCAAATAAAAATTTGAGTTATTTAAATATTTTTTAAAAAAATAATTCACAAATCTTAGCGGGAAGTTGGCAAAAAAACATCTTAGTGGGAAAAAAGTAGAGAAACAAAGCATATGTCCGGCTTTGGTTTTAGTTATACTTTTTTCCCAAAAAAGGTGAAAGTAGGAGGAATCCAAGGAAGTTTTGCTAGCAACAATTTTGTACTTTGATTTCACTCCTCCCTCCCTCCCTCCCTTAATCAGTTAATATCTGAAGTGGTTAGCCATGGATCATATAATTTGACCCAAAAAAAAAACATGGATCATATAATATGCCATTAAAAAAATACAGACAAGCCCCAGAAAAAGATCAATTCAAATTGGCTAGAGGCCGACGGAAATATTGTGATAAGCCAATAGGGGAAGACAACGCTATTGATTCCAAGCATAGGCATGGTATCGAATAAAAGGGCCAGGTCGTAGTCTAATCATTTAATATTATCTAATCTTTTAGAATTTGATAGGAAGATAGAGGGCATACCATGGAGCATCCTTTTGAAGGAGGCGAGATCTGCGTATCTAGAGCTATTGGGACTTGGCGGGTTGTCGAAACTCCAGATAGGAAAGATGCAGAAGCAATCGCGCAAAGACCGAGGCTTTTGAGTTGAAGAGCAGAAATTGGGAGGAGATGCGACTATGGAGGGAGGCACCAATCATGGAAGTATATCCAGAAAGGCAAGAGGTGAGAGACAATGGCTGAGGAAGATCCGGCTGTCAAAGAAAGTGTCCGGTGCTAATTAGGGCATCTTAGTTTTGTTTGGGCTTGGACTCTCTCCTCTGGTCTCTATTTCTTGTAGAAAAAACTCTTTATTATATAGAAGCATATGATAAACCAAAACATGTTTGTATCATGTCATGTGGCAGACTCTCTTCAGAAGTGTAGTATGGATTTTTTTAAATGCCAAAAAAAAAAAAAAGAAGAGATCCCATGTTCCAAGCTTATTTTTAATTTCTATCTACAACCAATATATGCTAGCTGATAAATTAAAACATTATTCTTTTTAATAATAAACATGGGCAGACTTGGGACCAAAGCATGTTCATGTCATGCCAGATGAGAGATTTTTTTTTTTTCAAAGACAAATAGAACAAATTTTTATAAGAAAAATTACAAATAAAGACCTGTTAATATATGAAATTGCGATTTGGGACCCTGAATTTAGAAAATAGCAAATAAAAACCCGGTATATTGTAAATATGAAATGTTAGTGAAATGTCTGAAATGTCTATCAGCCAAATTGTGATTTGGTCCACTGAAATTGTCATTTGCTAAATCGAACTTGTCATTTCTGATAGTCAACTTGTCATGATGGCATACTCTCAGTTAAGTTGTGATTTGATCTACTGAAGTTGTCATTCACTAAAGTGAACTTGTCATTTTTCATAGTCAACTTGTCATTTGGTTTAGAGGTATTTCATATATTTCATCAAGATTTTATATTTGTAACTTGGGACCGGGTCCTCTAAAGCTATTTTCTAAGATTTAGGATCCCAAATCACAACTTCACATATTGGGGGTTTTAATTTGCAATTTTCTCATTTTTTTTATATGCAGCAAATGCTTGCTGTTCTAAAAAATTATCCATTTTAATTGTCAGCGTGGACAGTTTATTTTTTATTACAATTGATTGAAGTAATTTTTTTGTTTTCATCTAGGATTATTAATAATAATTCCAAAAAACCTGCGGTTGGTAGAGCTGGTTATAAAAAATCGCATTTGAATTAAAAAAATTACTTGAAAAGGCCGAATCTTATATAAAAAATTATAAAATATTGCCTAAAAGATTGAAAGATCCTTGGCTTTCTCTTTCTCCAGTCACTCACATCTCCTTCTCTTTCCTTCTTCTCCACGTCTCCCACTTTTAGTCGTTCTCCTCAGTCCTCACCCTTTCTCCTCATTCCATAGCACAATAGCTAGCAGTTAGAAATGCCGCTCAAGCTGTGCTATTGCCTCCTCCATGTTCTTTAACAGGAGCAACAGATCACAAGTAGGAGGCTCCGCCACTGATTCTCTATGCCGTTCAGATGAAAGAGAACCATCAGAAGGAAGGTGACCTTTTCTTAAAAGCTTACAAGAATTACACTCAAAGCCCCTTAAAGCTATCATCAACCACGTCCGCAGCCGTTAACCAAGTATATATATGTTCTTCCTTCTTAGTCTGGTCTTGCATGTTAGGACTACAAATTAAATTTTTTGTTTTTTTGTTTTCACCGAAAGGATTACAAATTAAATTAGCAGAGTTGACTAGGGTAGTTAATCATGAAGCTGTGATGTGAGTGCACTAGTCCCACATGGGCATAGTTTCGTGATATGCGTCTATGTATATGTGTGTGTATGTACTAATGCTTTGTAAGTTACGTTTAATTCTAATTAGCTTCCATTACTTGTCAGGGTTCATCTACCAGGTCAGATTTGTAATGTAATGTAATGCTAATATTTTATCCTCATGGCATTATATGTGCAGTCTACTTCCTCACATATGCGTGCGTTGAATTGGTTATGGCTCGTCAAATTGGCACACCGCTAATGTCTGTTTTTCCAACAAAGAGTCTAAGAAAAGCAAACCCCCCAGCCCCATCTCATATCTATTATTTTTAGTAGACTTATAATTTTTTACTTTAAATTTATTATTTTCTATTACAAACTTGTGATTTTCTATTTTAAATTTGTAATTTTTTGTTCCTACAAACTTATAATTCTTTTTTTATATTTGTAATTTCCTATTTTGAACTTATAATTTTCTATTTCAGACTTGTTATTTATTATTGCAGACTTATTATCTTCTATTTTAAACTTCTTGTTTCCTATTGCAGATTTAAATTTCTTTTATACTTTTTTTTTTCTATTGTAGACTTATAATTCTCTATTTTGGACATATACTTCTCTATTTCACATTTGTAAGTTCTTATTTTAGACTTATAATTTTCTATTTTAAATTTATAATTTTTTATTTTTTTATACTTATTATTTTCTATTGCATATTTGTAATTTTTCATCTTAAACTTGTTGCTTTCTATTGTAGACCTATAATTTTCTATCTTAGACTTGATGTTTTCTATTTCAAACTTACAAAGGAGTATTTTAATTTATAATGAGTTGTATATATACATAGATTAAAAAGCATTTTTTGGTTAAGATTAAATAGATTAAAAATATTTTTCATAAATTATAAATAGTATCACTCATTATAAAAAATACTCTTCGGTGGAATACGTAAAAAGTATTTTTAATTTACAATAAGTTGTACACATATAGTAAAAAAAAGTTTGGTTAAAAAATTAAATAGATTCAAAATAATTTTTATAAATTATAAATAGTATAACTCATTATA